TTAAAATTTATGTATAGTATTTTATTCTTTGGCATATTTCTCATTTGAGTGAAATTTTTTTAGTAGATTGCTGTTGTTTAAAAGGTCATGAAATTTTTCACAAGAATTTGTTAAATTATATTTCACACATAAAATGGCTTTCAAAGGCTCAACACTTAATTGTGATTTTTCTGATGTCCACACTTTATTTACCGTAGAGAAAACATGTTCAGTCGCAGCATTAGTTCCTGGTAAGGACAGCGTGTATTCCACAATTTTTAGTGCATTATTGTATGGAACATGGTGTGTTTCGGGTCATATTTTGATAGAAATCTTATGATTTTCTAAAAAAGCTGCAACCAAGAATTTACATATGGGGCCCACTCCCATGGGCAAGTATGAGGATTTAGGCCCAAGACGCCAGTCTATAATGAATCATTTAGAGTGACTACTGGTTTTGCTTAGTCAGTCCATACTTTCAGAATAGCATAGAGCTGATTTTCTGTGGTAAGCCATGGGACTTCTCTGATTGGGCATGGCAGCAGTTTCCCCTAATCGATACCCTATATTCTTCTGTCCAGGAAAAATTAGGCTAAAATGATCTATTTCAAAAAATTTAGTGTTGAGGCTCTGACTACCAATAACTCAAATAACGACAGTTTTAATGTTCACGTATATAATCAAAAATACTGAAAGCAAAGCTAAGATAATCTCATCACACAACAGAAGCAGGAATCAATAGTTCCGGCCAGATGAGTCATCTAATCTCTCACATGAATTCTGAGTTCAAAGAGGTGTTTAACTAACTTTTAAAAGAATATTATAAAGCACCTGCATTCAAGTTGTCAACTTTTCAAAATAGATCTTGGGCTGAATTATTGAGATAATAAAAATATGGGAGAAGAGTATATTCAGTTAAAACTTCTTAGGTTGTTCACAAACAGGTACATTTTTTCAGTCAATAGTAGACAAATGCATACCACATGTGGGTACTTTCCCCTCCAGGAGTGCTGAGCAGGTAATGGGGTTACCATCGAGACAGGTGCAGTTTACTGTACCACTCAACCATGCTGACTTTTGTAAAAAGTATTCCTTGTTTTTAACACTGTCCCTGACTTGATTCCCAAATGTAAGACAGGTTCTAATCCTAGTTAATTACTAAACAAAACAAAGCTATATATTTCAATTCATATAAAGTAAATGGGGCTCTTTTTTAAAAGGGGCATTTGCTAAGTAAGTAGGTAAGGGATACTAAGAAATAAAATACAACTGCCTTAATTTTCATCTCTGTAACAAATAATTAAAGCCAAGGCCCCAAATATTACCCGTAATGAAGTAAGGATGTTGTTAGCTATGAAAGTCTAGGGCTCTCTGTATTGTCTGAGCACATGAGAGAGTGTTGCAGTATGTGTGGGAAATCAAGGACGAAGTCATCTGTACTACATGAAGGCCCCTACCTTTATATCAGTTATGAGTGGATCTGCCACAATGCAGGTGGTGTACCCACCTCCACCAAATGCTACGTGTCACAGTGACATTGTGATGCATCCCAATCCTCAGCTAGCAAAACACAAAACAGGAATTTGACAAAGACCTCAAAGACAAAGAGGTTCTGATCACTAAGTATGTTATTGAAGATAATTTCCACTTAAGTGTGTATTTGCTTAAATGATGGATTTAAGGGACAAGTACACACGTAAGCCACATTACTCGTTTTACTGATGTAGTTGTTCATGTCCTGTACCATGATTCAAAAGGAGCGAAGGCACAGGATATTATAAAGGTAAGCTCAAATGGTAAAGCATGGCCAGAATATAAAAGGCAGCCAGGAGAGGTCACCAGTAACCTTGGCAACTGTATCTTTACTACATGTTAAAGATTTTAGAAAACCAAATCTGTGCCCGGTCTGACCCCACCACACTGGGCTAAAACACAAGGGAGTGCCTCCGAGCAGCAAGGGGAGCAAAGCAATGACGTCCCTGAGGAATATAAAAAATAGACTTTGGGGCATGGCACCCCATGAGACCCGACCGGAAAACACTCCTGAAGGTCAACAAACAGACCTGGGACTATTTATAGGCTTTTCTTTATTGTTTTTGCATGTCTACCTAGATAAGATAGGTGGGATAAACAATCTGGAAGAGAAAATAACAGGACCAACAGTTCCAGGGGGGCATGGGAGGCAGAATAAAGGAATGGGGGGTGCCAACAAACTCAGGGTCAAGGAAACAAGTAGTGATCTAAAATCGATGGCAAGGAAGGTGTAGGATACCTGGTAGGGCTTGATCAAGTGCAATGTAACTGAGAGTAATTACTGAAAGCTGAATGAAGGTCGAACATGATAGTGGGACAAGATGAAGTAGAAGGCAAAGGGCATTTATAGAGTTCTAAATACAGGCATGTACATATGTAAATACATTCATATATAATGATATAAGAACACTCTGATCTAATAACCCGGCATTCTGTGATGCTCACCTTCCTGACAGGATCCCTGAAGACAAAATGGGTGCATAAGCAAAAGTGGTGAAGAGAGTGGATGGTACCTGGCTATCAAGATATAGTGTCTGGGGTCTTAAGGGCTTGAAGATAAGCAAGCAGCCCTCTAGCAGAGAAGCAACCAAGCCCATATGGTTGCACACCAGCCTGTGTGATCATGAGATGTCGATGGGATCAGGTATCAGGCATCAAAGACTCAGAACAAAAAATCATATCATTGTGAATGAGGGGGAGGGCGAATTGGAGACCAAAGCCCATCTGTAAATAAATGGACATCCCCTCACACAGGGTCACAAGGAAGAGCCAGTCAGGGTGCAGTATAGCACCGACGAAACATACAACTTTCTTCTAGTTCTTTAATGCTTCCTCCCCTGCACTATCATGACCCCAATTCCACCTTACAAATCCAGCTAGACCAGAGCTTGCAACACAGGGAATCCAGGACAGATAAACCCCTCAGGACCAACAATGACAGTAGCGATACCAGGAGGGGAAGGTAGGGGGAGAAACAACAGAAAATTGGATAAAGGGAGACAGTGGTCAGTGTAAGACATGAAAAAGATAATAATTTAAAAATTATCAAGGGTTCATGAGGGAGGAAGGGTGGGGAAAATGAGCTGATACCAAGGACTCAAGCAGAAAGAAAATGTTTTGAAAATGATGATGACAACATATGTACAAATGTGCTTGACACAATGGGTGGATGTATGGATTGAGATAAGAGCCCCCAATAAAATGATTTTTAAAACCCCCAACAAACCAAAACACATCATTTTAATGAAGAACCATGTTGTCTACTTGATTGTGTTTTCTTTTCCATAACCATGCAGACCGAAAAAACAGCACAGACTCTGTAAACGAGACAGCACACCTGGGGGAAACAGGTGTGATGGACACGATTCTCAGTGGTTTGGCAGTTAAGGCCTGGTTAATTTCCCACAACATGATCACCTTCACAATGGGATCTGTTTTGGGTAACCCATTGGTTGTATGACGATTAGGGTGGGAAACAACATCCTTACTCAGATGACAGTCCAAGTTTTCCAGCGCATTTTTAATGTAGTTTTTGTGGGGAAATTAGGTGCCTTGGCTGAGAGTCGGATTGGCTTATACTTGCGTATACATGGTAGCTTGTTTGCTTTCTGCTGAGTCTGGATCCTGCATCTGGCCCACCCACCTCTGGTTCTTTGGACTTGAACCTGCCATACCGCCTAATAATCCTGCGAGCTGCCAGTGGCCTGCCATCTAATCTGTAATTTTGGCCTCTGCTGCCGCAAGGCTGATTTGCTAACTTTGGATTAATTCATCTCATCGGCCACCAGTATGTTGTCTTCCTGCTAATCTTGGGCTCATCAGCCCCGACAAGCTTCATGAGTCAGTAAAAGCCTCCAACACAACATCTGATCCACAAACTTGGAACCTGCCCACTTCTAAAACTGGGTGAGTCCTTTTCTCTATAGAAATTTATCTCTAAAGACACATATAGAAGCACCACTGGCTTTGCTTCTCTGCATAACCCAGCCTCAGACAGATTGACCAAGCAAGAGAAATGATAATAAGGAATCTGTGCTTATGAGATAACTTCAGAACCAAAGCAACAAAAACAGTAGCTATCTATATTCAAAGAGCAAGCAAAACAACAAATGAAAATATAACAACCAAAGGAGGTATAAAATGCTCAAAGGACACCAGGGAGTCCAATCACTTACCTATGGCTTGAGCTAAGGCTATTACAACCTCTTGGCAAGTAGTAACTTCAGTGACTCCACACACAATCCTCTGAACTCCATCCACCCATACTTTAAGTTCCATGGTGCACCAGCCAGTTACCCAATCGCCTTACGACTTGTCATCCGGGTGTCAGGTCATGTCTCTGGCTACGGAAACACAGGTAAGGCAGTCTGTGTACTCAGCTGTAAAAGATTAAAAAAAAAAGTACAAATATTTAATAAATTTAAAATGTTGTTTTCTAATAAGTACAGAAGCACTACACTTAGCAAAATAAACAATACACCATAATCCTACTTCAGTTAATACCCAATGTCCTGTCCGCTCATCAATCAATGAATTGTTTTGGCTGTCAACTGTTCTAGGATCTTCTCATTGCTTAAAAGATGTTAAAGTTTTATGAGATGCAATAAACATTTATTTAAATAACGAGAACATCTGAATTTGTTTACAAGTTAAAAGTGGCACTAGTGTTTCAGGATTAATGACTTGTACAAGTAGTAATTTAGTCCCCTGTACATTTTCTTAAAGGCTCTAGGTCAACCTGTCACCCAAGTTGCAAGGGGAGAACCCGTGTGTGACAAAAGAGAAGACACTTCAGTACTTTCCCAGAGAAGGGAAAAATGCTTCTCTGCTGGATTCAGGGAAAGGCCTGACTGACAGCCATCTCCTAGCACACTGCTTGACGTTTCCCTGTCCTGCGTGCGATGCCAAGTTGCTTTCACAACCCCCTGTATCACCTGAGAACAGGTAGGCCATCCTGTGTCCCACTCTGAGCTCAGTCTCCTACCTGTGACCCTCAGTTGTGGGCTTCTGTGAGAAGCTGAAATTTCTGGGGGAAAGGTATGTTTCCACAGCCCACGAAACTGAAGAAGTCCAGTAAATGAAGTTAAACAATACTATCTATTGACTTACTTTTTAATAGTTCAATCATTCAGTCAAATCAAGGAGAATTGTACAATCATTACCACATCAATTTTAGAGCATTCCCTGCCCCACCAGCCCCCATGGTTAAATCGCCTTTAAAATGAGTTGTGCAATCACAATCGGTTCTGGTGCTCCCACCCCCTCCCTCCTTATATATTTCTCAAATCCTCTTTCCCTCTCTTTCACCCCCACCCCACCCCTGTATTCCCTAGATCCCCTTGTCTCAGTCATTCTCATTATGCAGTCACTCCTCCTGTGCTTCACAGCTGGGAGACCCAACAGAAAACAACAACAAACAAATTTCTTTAGAACAACACTTCTCAGTAAGAGTTTGATATATGGTTGTTACCCATACCCTTTAGAGCAGTGGTTCTCAACCTCCCTAATGCCACGACCCTTTCATACAATTCCTCATGTTGTGGTGACACCCCAACCATAACATTATTTTTGTTGCTACGTCATCACTGTCATTTTGCTGCTGTTCTGAATCAGGCGACCTCTGTGAAAGGGTTGTTTGACCCCCAAAGGGGTGTGACCACAGGCTGAGAACTGCTGATTTAGAGAGTATTTCAGAAATCAGAAAAATTATGGCTTGAAACAAGATGTTTCATTTTCTACTATGCTATCATTCTTTTGGGGGATAAAATTAGGATAGTGGTAAAATAATAAAAGTGCTTCATTTATTTCTTTTAATTGAGTTGAATCTAAGTCTATTGCCTATCCAGCCCCTTGTTTTTCATTAAAAGACTTTAAACTTGGAATATCTCTCAAGAAAGGGAGTAGATTTTTTTTAAACCCTTCTCTATACCACCTCCAAAGAAACCCACCATTAAAGGTTCATTTTAAGTTGTTTCTTTGAAGGTTTTAGTACACAAGCACTTTTTTTTTTGTCCTGCAAAATCAGTTTCACCTCGAATCATTAAGTGACTACAAATGAAGGCAGGTGCATCTGTTAAGTGCGATGGAGGGTAGCAATGCTGTGAGCCAACACCGAGCAAAGGTAATGCTGCTTCAATAGTTAGTACAACCTCTGACCACTGAATGCCTATCACACTCAGCACACAGTGTTTGCATTTTCGTTTTAATATGACATAATCTCTTTCAAATTTGAAAATGTATGGAATATCATAAATACCTCAGTAGATCAGATCAAGAGACCCACCTGGACTAACAATCTTATGTCAAGGAGGTCTAAAGGCCACTGTCTTTAGGAGGACAGGGCCTGCATTCGGCCGTGGACTGTGCTGAAAAGCAGCACTCAAAGCAAAACCCAAATCCTCTGTCATCGGGTATCAATTCTGACTCAAAGCGACCCTAGTGGGCAGAGTAGACCCCAGTGGGTTGCGGAGACTGTAACTCTTTGCAGGGGGGGAAAGCCTCGTCTTGCTCCTGCAGAGAAGCTAGTGCAACACATAACCCACTGTTCCCCCAGGTATCCTATCTTCTCTCACCATCAGGGAGTTCTTCACCAGAGTCCGAAGAACCCATCCGTTCATCTTCCTAGAAGAAGACCCTAGTTTTTTTCCTCTTGAAGCTGCTTGAATCTTATAGGAGTCCAACTCCTACAGCTCTGCTCCAGCCCCAGAACGAAGGGGGACATGGGGGAGTCCTGCACTGCTGGGGGCGAGGTGGACCCACTAGCTGCTCTGCAGGACAAAGAGATCACAGCCTGTGTCCATAAAAACGGACCCCTTGGTATTCCTAGAGAGCAGTTCTCCTGTGCTCTTGTTACTCATGGGGTCATGGACTCCAATAGCAAAGGGTGTCTGGGCTTTTACTGCGGGTGCACAAGGGCGTATGGTGCTTTGTCCTTGCCGAAACGGAGGACCCACGGAGAAGGGCTCTGGCATCCCAGTCAGTATTTGAAGTAACGTTTTCCAAAGAAATAGTGATTTAGATTGAAGTAAGGTTCTGTTGCATGGGTATCAATGTAGTTCACTTAGTGTTTTCATTATCAGGTTTCTATTTCCCACTATTATTTTAACTGTAAGGCTTTCTACTCCTGTAAAGACTTACAGACTAGGAACCCACAGGGGCAGTTCTATTCTCTTCTACAGGGTTGCTATGAGGTGGAATCCTCTCCGTGTCAGTGAATTTGGTAGTTTTTGTTTTTAAATAACGAATGACTGGATTTATTTCATAACATGGTAATGTGGAGCTAATGGTTTTAAGCCTCTGTATTTTTTTAAAGCAGCTGTGTCTGTAGTTATTTCCCCCCAAGATCAGTGCTTTCATTCAACAATTATATTTTTAAAAGTGATAACTTCCTTGGATGGCAACTCTTAAAATGCTAAACAATTCCCACTGCTCCTTAGACCGGAAAAGTAGTCATATAGGTAACTCAGAGCCCCTATACCTTTCTCTTTGCTAGTTCTGCCCAAGATCTAAGGCGATCAGAAACATATCAGGGACAACAATTTTTAAGGGTGTGCAAGTATATCGGCTTACAAAAGCAGTTCCACAATCAGGCCAGTTATTCAACTGAGTACTGATGCCAGCGATGAGCTGTTTTGGCATCAGAGATTCAACATAATGCACATAGTATATTCTTATTAGATATTAATAAGTAGATATGATTTTCCACTGCACAGTAAACTAGCTGTGGAAACAAAGGGGAGTTTACTTTGCCTCATTCTAAAACAAATGTGAGGAGGGAACTAAATAGGTTTGCAAAACAACTGCGGCTCAACAAACACAAACTATAACTTCTAGCTGTTTAAAGGCCACCACTGAAGTGAAGATGGAAGGGGCTTCATTATAAAACAAAGCAAACACAACCCCCACCAAACTCACTGCCATGGAGTTGACGTCACCTCACAGTGACCCTGCGGACAGAGGAGAAACTACCGCTGTGGGTTTCTGAGTCTGAACATCTTTAAGAAGTAGAAAGCCGTCTCTTTCTCCTCTGCTTCATTATAAAGATAGAATAATCGTGTGTAAAATAGAAACCTCATAATGAAAACAAGAAGAACTACATTAATGCCCATGTGAAGATGGAAAGAGAATCGAAGGGAATACCCTGGAAAGCATAGAACACAACATACAAGGAGAAGAAAGAGGAGAGACGGTGAACCAGTCTGGGAAGATTGGTCTGAGGAAGGCAGGCAGGCAGATGATCTGGTGGGAATCTTTGGAAGACTGCTTCCAGTATCCATCTCAGACTATGGGCCCTTGAATCCCAGTATTTGGGTGATGTGAGCTTATGACACTGGTCCCACACGGTTTTGAAAGTCCTGTTATACACAAATTGCTTAAAAAACACACACACACCCAAACAACAAAACCAAAACATTGTGTGTGTGCTCTGTGTGTGTGTGAGTGTGATGTAATTCTAAGTGTGTTGGTGGTGTCGCTGGGGTTCCATAATTCCAAGGGAGAAAGACAAGGTTTTCAGCTCTGCAGAGTTACTACACATTTGGAAACTCACGCAGGCAATTCTACTCTGTTCTACAGGGTCGCTATGAGTTGGAATCAACTCCATGATGGTGAGATCATGTCATTCCACAAATGTGGAAACTGGGGTGGTGGGGTGGTGGTGGTGGTGGTGTGTGTTTAAGGTTAGGTTTTATTAAGTATTTTCCAAAATGTGTTCTGAAGAACAAGGGGACCTGTGAGGGGCAGCAGGGAAGAATAAGGTCCCATGGGGCAGCATTTCATAACACAAGATCTCTGGGAGATGGGCAGTGCACAGTAAAATAAAGGTGCTAAGATCTGACCTGTGTAGTAGATAAACTGATTAAACTTCATTCTGTGTTGATGGGGGTGGGGGTTTAATGACTTTAAAATATCAACAATTATCAACTTTTCAAAAGTATGCCTCTGTATAAAATGAGAAACGGTCAACATCTCTTTAAATGGTTTTGAGGCACTTGAAGGTGGCGATGGTGGCCATTTACGGGTTTGTTCACAGGGAAATCAGGAGCAAAGGCAAAACAAGGGAGCACCATGATTTCCGATTTCCCTCGCTGGGAAAGTCGCGCTTTGCCACCATTACTCTATCTCTTCTAAAGATGGATTTTGTATTATTTCTGTTAGCGAGCTGTCAAAATCAAAAGACTTCTCCTCTGATGGTATGTCTTTCAAATGTTCACAATTCCAAGCAATCTCTGTGTCTTAATTATTAGGACTAATACACCCAGGCGCTTCATCTGCTTTACATCTGCTTTGGGTCACAACATTCGAATACGCCCAGTGACTTGTCATCTCCCAAACATCACGTGCTCACGTCGTTATTGTGCCGTTCCAGCAGCGA